TTTTTTCTTCTTTTTTTTTCGAAATAAATTCGATTCGTTCGAATGCGGATGACGGATATAAGAAAACGTCACGGATCAGGACAGTTACAAATGAGTAATAAGAACCCTTTTGATGAACGATCCCGGAGATCTGACGAGTAATAATGAATTACGTAGAATTATATCCAGTAATGACAGAAAGGGACTATTGTCGCCAGTAAAGGCTGATTTTATTATCGAAGCATCCAAAAAAATAGATCGATGAAGAAAGAGGTAAAGGCTGACCGAGATCTGTGAACTTAATTGTATGTAGTTCTTATAAGATAATATTTGCTTATAACAAAATTTGTCGTGAATACGGTTATTTTGGAAAAATAGAACTAACATCACACCAATTTAGAATCTAAACGGAATCTTTTATTAACAATGGCCTTCATCGCCAAGTGACAATTCAAGTGTATTTCAGTTTTCTTTATTAATTTAACAACGTTTTTAACCTTTTAATTTGATGGATAATTGTTTTATTGTTTTAGCAGTTTCGTAACGGTATTTAAATATTGTCTTTATTTTGGAAACAAAAGCTTCGAAATCATGAACGAACGAATTTGTTTTTTATTAACAAATTAAAACTGTTACAGTATAACTTCAATGAAACTGTAGCGTTATTTATTTCAAGCGTTCAATAGCCTTTTCTCCTCTCATCATTTTTAGCATTGACCTTTAAATGTTACTGTTTAAACATTGATTTTAAAAGCAATATTACCAGTTTGTTTAATTAATGATTTTCGCGAACATCTGAAAACCAAATACACATATCATAGGTGGTTCTTTTTTAATGAGAGTAGACATAAAACCTCTCGCATGGCCACTTATAAAAAAGAAACATAAGAATCAAACGTCAAAAAAATAAAAAAAGAAGACTATCGCCGACCGCACCGCACGCGCTGTACACGCACACGCCGCTTATTTTTTCACAAATATTTTCATGGACTCAAATTAATTCTCTATTATACAAACTCTTACTGACGACCATATTCGTCGTTGCGCGAGTGATATACAAGTTTTATAGACAATAATTTAGAAGAGTGCCGTGTCAAGTCGCCGCCATTACGCGTCGTCCAGCAGTGGCGTCGAATTCTTCAGCCTGGAAGAAGCTAGCGACGGGTTGGCAGGTACGTCTACTCCTCATAGCCTAGCCTCGGCCTTCCCCTCTTTTGTGCATCTTTAGCGATACTCGCCCCCGCAAAACTTTCTTCAAAAATATTGAGCCAGCGCACCGCCGTGGTGGAAAATTTGTAAAGAGTTTTTCCCACTAATAGGTATAAAAATACCTATACACCTACATAATATGGTAACAAACACAAATGCAGAGTAAATCTCTTAGATAGCGTAAGAATTTTGGCAACCGAACTAGAGAAATTCTATACTTTGAGATCCAATACGATGTATGGGTGAACCCTATTAATTTATTGCGAAGTACATATTATTATGTATATGAGAAACTAAATATAAAAAAAAGTTTAACTTTTTTTATAACTTTAGTGTAAAGATAGAATGAACGTCAACATAAATCAGTAGTTTACCTGTAATTTTTTGTCATTATTGTGGTTTTGTTCCACGCACCGTGACATGATGGGGTCACTCAGTGGCAAAGGAGGTCTGAGACAATCAGTCTCATGCAAGCGGAAGCCACCATCGCTCGAAATAAAGAAAACGAGGTTCGTGTCAGTTCGTGTGAACTCAACCACGACAGTGCGACCGTTGGGAATAACACGTTATATTCATAAACTAGAGACCGTTTTTTTTTTTTTCTTCAGCGAGATTTTCTTATTCTCGTGTAAGTGTCGTTAGTCAAACCGTGTCTCGAATCTCAGATCCAATGTGATAATGTGATAATGTGATAGGGTGAGAATCATAGATAATGCGGTTAATAGTAATAATTGATAAATAGCGTTAGTAAAAAATAGAAAAAAGCTATATATATAATTTTGGACAGTCCATAGTAAAATTCCAAACGTTATTAGAAAAACTTCGTTCATTAGATACTACTAGAGGTCCCGCAGTTTTAATTGGAATTGCAAGTTTGTACACTATTATGATTGTATTTTATACTTCTATAATCACAAATTTCACCAAGGCTACAACTATAAAAAAATATTAATACAGACAAACAATATTTAATCTATTCTCAATTTGACCACAGATGTCAAGAACAAAAGTTTGACAATACCTAAATAGTATGCATGCGTGTTTGCGTCAAATACATGGTATGTAGTGTGTGTAATATTTTCTTTATTGATTTAATGTATCTTTTATGCATTATTTAAAAAAAATATTAGCATTGTGCACTTCTTCTCTATATTCTCTATAAGAGTGGAAAATTTCATATTCCTCCGTCCGCGCAATTCTCGTAAAAAGGGATACAAAGTTTTTGCTTCACGTATTAATATATAGTACTATGTATAATACTTAAATATTTATTTGAAGCTCTAGAATGGAAGCAGAACAGTCCAACATTATACCATAACAGAATGTAAAAGGTTAAAAAAATATTGAATTACAAGGATATTATCGGTTGTATTATAACATTATTTTAAATATTAATATGTACTGTTAATTACTTTTGTTACTTTATTTTTAAAATTTTATATGAGTATGAATAAATTTCAATTAACGACTAACGGTTACATCTACAAGTCGATTTATTACTTTAAATTTTAAATCTATTTCTTTAATACAAACTAAATTTTTAGTCAAATCGTAAACTCCTTCCTTTTTATATTTTGTTGCCTAATTTCGTATATTTTCCCTGGTTCCTTTTCGTTCTTAATATTCAACAATGAAATGCACCGGAAGTACTTAATTATTATTTATACTTTGATTACCATTTCAAAGAAATTACAAATGACAGACAAAAAACATCAGTATTCTGGTGGTATATTCTTTCATAATTCTTAAAGGTAGGGGATTCGGATTTCCGCGAATTTATGTAGAGGATAAGGGCAGCTTTGCGCAAAAGGTAGTCCTGATATTCTAGCGAGAGGGTCTCGGCCGCTAACAATTGAAACAATAAAGGAAAAGGCGTCTCTGAACCGGACAATCCCTTAGCAGGATATTGTTTTATTCGCTCCGAGGCAGGGCCGTAAATATTTAAAAGATTACTGCCGGAAAATACGGAAGCACTGGATGACCCCCTAAAATCCCACAGGGCCGATTTCACGATCTTTATATAAATCGTCAAAGAATTTACAATATTAAACAAATTTAATGTGTTTTTTTAAATTAAAACTCAGACATACATTTATTATAATGAGTCGCTTCAACTGCTTTCATTGATTAAAAATGTGAGTACACAAGTATTCGAAATATTGAAATGTTATAATATTAATTATTTAATACACATCAACATTTATTTCGTTTTATTTTTATTGATATACAGATCGCGACAGCTCACGACTTATCTGGTATTCAGTGAATTCCTACTTTAAACCTAAGGTGATGTCTTTGTAGAATTAAAATAACGGATATCTACCACCCCTAACTTTGATATCGGAACGCAAACCATACAGAATATTGGTAGGTACCAAACCATTTTATTAAAATATTTTAAATAATGTCGGATTTAAAATAATGTCGAATAATAAATATTTGTTTCTCGCCGGATCTTCTAAGTGGGTCGCGTTTCCGATCCGGTGGTAGATTCTGCGAAGCACGGCTCTTACTAGGGTTCCTGTTAGCAACGTCGTCAGGTTTGAGCCCCGTGAGCTCACCTACTAGTTAAGGTTACGCTGAAATAGCCTCGCAAGGCTCTTATCTTACGATAAGAAAAAAAAAGTTAAATAGCATGGTCTCTATTTTGTGATGCGTGTACGAAATGATAACTTATTCCACATCTCACAGAATTCAATCTCGTTTAAAATTAATCAACTGCGTGGAGTAATGTAACTCAAAACTCTGGAGCTAGAGGGTCTGAGAGCCAGATAACTTTGTAAGCGTATAGACTTACTCCATCCCGAGCGTTCGGTCGCCACCGCAACGCACACCTGCATCGAACCAAACCGGTTTCTATAAACATGATTTCACTCTCTCAGCGCGCCATTGGCGTTGCCTAATTTACGCATTCAAGCTTGAGATCCAACTTATTTATTTTTCTTAGTTTTATCTTGGGGCTTCTTAAAATGATCAAGCGATGCATTTATGTAACACGTGACCCTTTATAGTGTAGAATTTAAAATTATTTGTACCCTACGTGTAGGCGTACCACAATTCTCAGCTAAAATTTAAATCTGAATACGATTTCTCAACTTCTTTACAAGCTTTCGAATTGAAAAAAATCGAATGATGAATGCAAACCGAGTAATTGTAAATCATCCTGCAAATATACAGCTAATACCAACACTACTTAACTCAAGCTCTGAATACCAAATCTAATACTAATATTTATGAGATAATAAATTTCCTAGGACTCAGACTGGTTAAACGTCAAACGTAAAATTGCAATCCTTAAAAGCTTTGGAAGCCTAATCTCTTATTCAGAAATAAAGTTCCCTCAAGCCTAAAACACCTTTCTTAAATATAGACTAAGCATAGCCCGTGGTTCTACTCGCAATAAAATTTGAATAAATTGTTGTTACCTTACATTTTTGCAACGGTTTAATAAGTTTCGTAATGGCATACGTAGAAAGTTAAAATTTTAACTCAATGTAGCAAAAAATACAACTAGATAGATATTGAGAAACGACAAACATATTTAGTTAAAATTTTAACTTATGAGACACACGACGATAAGATAATATCTCAATGTTCTTTCGTTTTTGTGTAGGTACTTACTTTTAACAATGGGAAATGTTACCCTATTGTGTTCTTAACTCGAGTTATCCTCAGAGAACAGTGTACCCACATAGCTATGGTATCACCATTGTAACGACGGTGCACCTTTACACACAAGCAAACAGGCAAACTGTTGATACAACGGACGCTGTGTGAAGTGACTCAGAAACTAAGTAGGTAGCTCCGCTTACCTGTGCAAATCAGCAGTAAAGTCAACGGTGAAAGCCGATCGGACTTCATGTTGGTGATCCAAGCAACTTTCTAGCAGTCGTTCGTAAAAAAATTCAATCTTAAGCGCCCATCTTGCAACACTGGTTTTTGAGATTATATGCTTAACTCCAACTTAACTGTCATGCATTGTAAACTCACTCGCACAATAGTATTAAATATTCACTTTCAAAACTTTTTCACTAAGTTAATTTAGTTTAAAACTAAATAAATTGACACGTTCCAACTTTGTAAACTTCGTAAAACAATCTCATTTTCCAATCCTCAGTGTAAACTTTGAATGTAAACGCGATCGTTCTGTTACGGAGCGCCAGACACGTTATACACGAGCGACGGTTAACCCAAGGCTAACACGTCGTTCCGAGCAACAAAGCGCCACGCGTGAAAGAGACGAACTTACTTTCGTCTCGCTCTCTTGCTAAAGTTTACGTTGTCTTGTCCGGGAATGAAGTGGCAACAACGCGCTACCGGTAACGTATGGCGAGTTTTTCACCAGAGGGCGACTCTAAATTAAAATTCTACGCCAGTTCAAGCAACAGAGAAACGCAGCTGAAATCTAACTCAAGTTTAATTTTAATTTTTATTATGACTTATAATTCTTGAAAGTTCTTTCACGAAAGTTCAATTTAACGAATCCTGCTAAACAAGCTGTCAAAAATGAGGACACTGACCCTAAGTTATCATTTTGACAGTTTATTGAACGCTAATTTAAATGTAGACTGTGAACATTAATATAATTAATTGATTTAAAAATGGGAGGAAACGAAAAGTGTTATTTCATGTAATGTTTTGTTATTTGATTTTACTCAAGGCAATGTTAATCAAGAATTCTGATTTGAAAAGTAACTGATTCTGCACGCATCGAAGATTGCAATCGAACACTTTCCAGTTATTGTACATATATATTCAGTACCAGCCGTACCCGCCCGCTTCGCTGGGCATTTAAAATTAACATTATTATTTATTGTCATTATTATTAGGGAGTCCAACACTCATATCGTCGGGAGTCAAACAGGGAGTGTTGCTAACACTGAACCTAGCAAGAGCAGTGCTTCACAGAATCTACCGCCGATCCTTCTGGTACCTAAAAACANTCCAGTTATTGTACATATATATTCAGTACCAGCCGTACCCGCCCGCTTCGCTGGGCATTTAAAATTAACATTATTATTTATTGTCATTATTATTAGGGAGTCCAACACTCATATCGTCGGGAGTCAAACAGGGAGTGTTGCTAACACTGAACCTAGCAAGAGCAGTGCTTCACAGAATCTACCGCCGATCCTTCTGGTACCTAAAAACACCGTTAATGGATCGGGAGGATCCGTAATTACGTGTTTAGGACGATGTCGACTATTTACCATTCGGTGCATAGGATCGGGTATGTAATTACCCAAAGGTGTTGCTAACACTGGCCCTCCTAGTAAGAGCACTGCTTTGCAAAATCTATCACTGGATCGGAAACGTACTTAATACGTATCCATTAAGTACATGTATTTTCTACATGGATACCAAGTTTTAAGTCAATCGGATGCATGGTTCAGTAGTTATAACGGAACATACGTAAAAACCACTGTAGATTTATATATAAGTATAGATTATATCAGTAATCATATTATGAAAGACATGATTTCTTGAAAGTACCCATGTAAGCTATCATAGGTTAATTGCACTACATATAGCTGCTGTGCTATTCAGATATATACGCTAAAGTTTAATCCAAATCCGTCCAGCATGAAAGAGTAATAAAAATGCATTCATCCTCAGAAACTTTGGCATTTATAATATTAATAGAAATTATTAATTAATATTCAATATATGCAATGTGCAACCTATGAATATGCAATATGCAACTTTTTTTGGACAAAATAGGAAAACGAACGTTGTAAAGTTGAAACTGATACTATGGTACGAGGCAATAATATATTATGTGCGCGCACGTATGCCCACTGAGTTTCTCGCCGAATCTTCTCAGTGGGTCACGTTTCCGATCCAGTGATAGATTTTGCATAGCAGTGCTCTTACTAGGAGGGCCAGTGTTAGCAACACCTTTGGGTAATTACATACCCGATCCTATGTACCGAATGGTAAATAGTCGACATCGTCCTAAACACGTAATTACGGATCCTCCCGATCCATTAACGGTGTTGTTAGGTACCAGAAGGATCGGCGGTAGATTCTGTGAAGAACTGCTCTTGCTAGGTTCAGTGTTAGCAACACTCCCTGTTTGACTCCCGTGAGCTCACTTATACGTCAAGGAGAAGCTGAAATAGCCTCTCAAGGGTATCAGTATAGGTAGAAAATAAAGAGCAACACCTGCGGTTTGAGCTCCGAGAGCTCATCTACACGCTAGGGTGACGCTGATATAGCCTCTCAAGACTATCAGCATAGGTAGGGGAAAAAAGTGCGCGCGTAGCTACCACTATTCCGTACCATTCCGCCGCTAAGTAGCTATGCATGCTAAAAATTCAGATCATTTCTGGAAATGCAACAAAAGTACGGTTTTCTTAATAAATTTTATCATGCATTTTATCATTTTGGTAGGCAGCGGCTTGGCCCTGCGCCCCCCATTGCTGAAGTCCATGGGCGACGGTAACCACTCACCATCAGGTGGGGCGTATGCTCGTCTGCCTACAAGGCCAATAAAAAAAAGGCTTGCTGTTGTTGATTGACGAAGATTTTAATTTATACTTTGGTGACGATTAGTGTCATAGTGTAATAGTATCTTGCGATTTTTACTAACCATTACCGATTCATATTTCTGGTTTCAAATCATAAAGATACACCGGGAGTCAGGAGAACGAATCAAGAATAAAATGCGACACATTTGTTTCTTAATTAGTGAGCACGTCAGCATAGCAATTGCTATTCTATTCTATCTATATGTCTATCTTTTATTTATTTATTTGTTATTGCTTAGATGGGTGGACGAGCTCACAGCCCACCTGGTGTTAAGTGGTTACTGGAGCCCATAGACATCCACAACGTAAATGCGCCACCCACCTTGAGATATAAGTTCTAAGGTCTCAAGTATAGTTACAACGGCTGCCCCACCCTTCAAACCGAAACGCATTACTGCTTCACGGCAGAAATAGGCAGGGGGGTGGCACCCACCCGCGCGGACTCACAACAGGTCCTACCACCAGTAAAAAATAATAAAAAATATCTATTACCTGCTCTTAATTAAACTTTTCATTTAGGTGAATACATACAGACTAATCGATATCAAAATAACAGAATAATCTACCAACGATTACAATAATAACAAAATAAATTAATAACTCAAAATTAGCTTATTTTCGTTATTGAAAAAAGTCTTACTCTGTTATATTGTTATATTATATGTACAAATGTATCTGGAACCCTTAAAAGAAAACAAGATTTCAAATAATTTTCTATCGGCTCAATTAATGTTTGATGGTTATTGCAGTCCATAGACATCACAACGCAGAGGGATGCCCCCTACCTTGAGATAATAAGAGAAGGGAGTCTCAACTGTCGTTAAGTGGTCACCGAAGCCCACAGACATCAACCATGTTAATGCCGCCTACCAATCTGAGACACGAGTTTTAAGACTCAGTTTTTACAGTACAACGGATGCTCCACCCTTCAAACTGAATCGCATTATTGCTTCACGGCAGAAATAGGCAATATGGCAGCACATACCCATTCCGACTCGCAAGACGTCCTACCATCAGTAAGATATATACATATTATTATTGTAGTATATTATTATATACTTAAGTATAGTAAGATATATATACACCTTAATAATATAATTGAAGTCCCAATTTTGTAATTTCCGCATTTCATTTTGATTCTGAGCATTACACGAAAACCAGTTTTGTTATTAGTTTTTCAAAGGAAAAAATAATGAGATTTGTTGTTAAAGAATATAATATTTTTACTGTAAAAAAAACTTACATATAAATTACCTTTAAGGGCCCATTCATTAACTTTGATAATATTTAGTAAGCTTAATTTTTGAGCCGAACCACAAATCCAGGCGGCGTATATAAAAGATCAAAAGAAAATTTCACGAATAACCCTGAAAGTTTGGGTTTGTTTATTTACTTAGGTTTTCTAACAAAAGATATACACAGCACAATTATATTAAAAAAATAATAATAATAATAAAGATTCTTAGCATGATGTGTACTGCCTAGATTACATTAAAACACAGAATTCATAATAATTCAACTACGCTAACACCAATTAAGGCTAGAGTTAAACTTTGCTATACAGAATTCGCACCGGTAGGTACGGTTCCTGTATAATTCTGTGAAATATTAGGAGGTTGCTGCTTAGAGGGTGGGAAGGCCGTTTTATGATTCAATTGATTTCGACCTCATGTGTCAAAGTAGACGACAGTATTAGAGTTCACAAATAGTCTCTGGCAAACACTTAAAGTTACATACATGCGGGCTTATCGCGATGAACTGATGTTCAAGTTTAAGCATATGTTTCTAAATTCAGTCTACTTCTGCCGTGTAGTAATCAGTTCCGGTTTGAAAACAGCCATTGACCACTGTAATTAGACCTTACGGAGCCATTGGTGCCTGAAGACTGCGGTAAACTCTGTTTAAAGTACACTCTCATGCTCGGAATTGTCCTATCATCACCTATCACTGGAGAGGAATTCTGAAGCCGCTATACTCATCCACGGTGCGTTTAGATTACGTACATTCCGGCTCTGGAATAAGAATCTTCCACGAATCAATCAGACCATTCCACGAGGTTTCCCAACTTTATGACATATCTTCCTTCAAATCTCTAGTCGGCCATTTTAGCTCTAAAATACACACATTAGAGAATGGTTTTTTAAATCGAGGAATTTAAGCAAACAGAGAAGATACCAGAGAAGAGAGAAATANGGTGCGTTTAGATTACGTACATTCCGGCTCTGGAATAAGAATCTTCCACGAATCAATCAGACCATTCCACGAGGTTTCCCAACTTTATGACATATCTTCCTTCAAATCTCTAGTCGGCCATTTTAGCTCTAAAATACACACATTAGAGAATGGTTTTTTAAATCGAGGAATTTAAGCAAACAGAGAAGATACCAGAGAAGAGAGAAAATAGATTTTTTTTCTCAACACGCCAAAAGTCAATTTGGGGCCGGATTTACGTAGATATATCGAGATATTTTTTTCCTAACTAAGCTGATAGCCTTGAGAGGCTATTTCAGCGTAACCTTAACTAATAGGTAAGCTCACGGGACTCAAACTGGAGTGATGCTAATACTGACCCTAGCAAGAGCAGTGCTTCGCAGAATCTACCACCGGATCGGGAACGCGATCCACTGAGAAGATCCGGCGAGAAAGTCAG